TTTTCCCCGAGCCCATTTTTGCCCACAAGGAAAAGAAGCAAATGTCCTTTGGCCTCCTTCTCTAATTAACAGCGCTCGGGGCCCGCAAACTCCTGGGCTGTAAGTCCCTACCACGAGAAAATTTGACGCTCCTCCTTGGCTTAAAAAAACAACAATGATTGGTTTTCCCTCGCGCAGACGTTGTACAGTGATTGGCTTGCTGTTGCGGCGAAGATGTACAACGATCGGTTTACTGTTGCAGCAATGATGTACAATGATTTGTTGATTTTGCGTCGATGATGTACAATGATTGGCTCGCTGTTGCATTGCTGATTAACAATGATTTTATTTTTGTTGTTTCGCTGACGTACATCAATTTGTTGTCTGATGGGTCAGTTACGCGCCTTGATGTAATTTTCGTATAATATATTATCACCCGTTCGCTCGGTATATGGGTTATAATAAATGATTCTGCGATAACATTCCTTAAACTATTTTAAAGTTCGAAAATCACGCACATTGATTGGCTTTGACGTTTAATACTTTATTTGCAGTAATGACGTTTAATAGTGTATTTTTTCTTCCTTCAAACGTTTTCCGTAATGTGGTCTGAGCGCGGTGGTCGGCTCTGCGGAGTGTTATAGTGAAATTTTTGTATTATTGATTATGAACAACATCCCCTCATTAAGGGTAAGTGTCATGCTAAATAATTCATAGGGAATTTTCTCATGACGTGAATCATTTAGGACTATTGCCTTTGCTGTGCACTATTTAATTGAATCGTTTAATCGTTTAATTAATGTATAATCGCCGATAGCAAAAAACTAGGCAAAGATATCTTAGAAAGAAATGCCAACTTAAATTTAGCAGCTTAGAGTAACGAGGCATGGGTGACTTGCCGCAATAGACAAAAAATTCTCTTGAGACTGTGAGATTTATTATCTATATTATTCAGTTCCTTCTGACGCTTCTTAGTGGATTACTTGGAATTAAACATATAAATATACATATATATTAAACTCCGCGCTTGAACGGAAGTAAGATACGATCTTTTTAAGCAAGTCGCAATCAAGAAAAAAAGTGAGCAATTGGTTTGGACAAGCTTACGCTCATCCGATCTACGTTTACAGCATCTAAGTCCGGAAGGCGTGATAAGAAATGTATAGAAATGAGCAAAAAATAAAGTAGTGGATCATTTCAAGCCAAAAGATACAAGTAATACAGAGTGACGTGGTCAACGGGCGCTCTAGTACTCTATTAAAAATAATAAGACGGTAGTGGTTGGCTAGTTTTCAGCCGGCCCTCCTCCGGCGATGAGAAGCGACAGGCTTACATCCATGGTCATTAGCAGAGATAATAAATAACATCCTGCTGCCTCAAGTCTATTACTAAGCCTCATCCTAACTTTATATTGCGCCGGTATTTTTTATTAAAAGTCTCATCTGATTAGCATTCAGACGGCGGTATTTGCATTTTGTGGGAGCGCTAGCGTTCTGGGGGCTTAGAACTGAAATTAGGAGTACGGAAGTCATGTGCACGGAAGGTGATTAAGAAAATGGGAATCAATTAACACAAAAATACTTTAAATGGTAATGAAATTAATATATATGAAGCATGTATAGTCGAACTAATGCTTGCCCGAGTCGGCTTGAACAGATCTAACGTGTCGTAAGGACATCGAGGAGCTATTTAATTGATTCATTTTAATAAGGAATTAATTATTAGAAAATATACATACGTGGTCATTTGCGAATAATTGGAGACAAGTTCGATGACAGAGTTGCAGAGCATAAAACTGTCGTTACAATACAATATTTATTGTGCGCCGCTATAATAAAAGTCACTTCAGTGCGGTCAATAATCCCCCAAAGCTCAACATACAATCTTATCAAGTTCTCCATCGCTGGTGGACCTCAATCGTCCCTATAACACTCAAATTATTTTGCGAAGAGACATTTGCCCTGAACAACCAGATTAAAGGAGGCGGTATTTTATCGTATGCAGAGAAACACCGGCATATATTCAGGTTATATAATATCGAATTCTCAAAATTATTTCCGACGAGGAAATTTGAATTTGTAACTTTATATTGTAATTAAGTTGATACAACCATACATCAATCTTTTAGTGGAAGACACATATAGGGTCAACACAGTCGTCTAAGGAAACCAAATGTTGAATTTTTGCTGGATTTTAAGCGGCCGTACCCTTTACGTTTTGTCTAATAAAAACCACCATGACTTATAATGAATTCAATCTTATAAATGTGGCCAAACTGCATTCATATCATTCCGCTGTGAAGTAATTTTTTAACTAGTTCACAGATTTCTAAACAATTATCACGAAAGCAAAGACTTGTTAAACAATTTCTGTTTGTCTTGGCAGCAAGTTTGTAAACACTTATTCTGTTAGCCTTCATCTATAGTATACAATGGTTTCTAGCTTAAAGTTTGTTCCAACTCTTAGTAAGTCGAGTATATATTAATCAAGTCTGTAATTGTTACTGCAAACTTCCAATACTGCAAATTACAGACTTCCAGTAAAATCAATCAAAAATTAAGTTTCAAGCATCCACCAAATAGCACTATGTTTGAAAACAAAATTAATAACCTCATATTGCAACAGACTTGACATTTTAATGGAAGCAACACGACAAATTATATTAAGCGGGTAGCAATATTTACGAGTCCGTCTTAAGTCATCACGCGACTTGTTTATTATTATTCACTCATTCATTCACATATGTTTGTATTCATTCATTTGAGAGGCAGAAAACCATTTACTAATATTTTCAAACAGAGGCTAGTAACGTGATACCATTTTTAGCGTATTTTCTCATTTAAGGAAAAAATGCACTAATGTGCTTGCCATATCCGTCTGTCTGTCTGTCTGTCTGTCTGTCTGTCTGTCTGTCCGTCTGTCCGTCCGTGACCTCAAGTTTTCGTCGACGAGAAAATGCGCTTTCTGTCCCTCACTGCTGTGAGTACTGAGTTATATTTTTTAAGTGGAGTTTGAGATATGTTCAATTGATGAGCATGATGTCGTAATGCCCATAAGCGATGATAAAATAAGAATGCATGAAAGTAAAGCATTCAATGACAAATTACATTCTTTGTCATTGAAGTTATATCTGAAAGGCATATAATTCGAACTTCCAGTTCTTGAAAGGCATAGTTTGAGGAATTAGCTTTAAACTTGGGCTTTGTATCCGTGCACAAGAGCCCAATAACAATTAACACAGAACAACATAATAGCTCAAGAATTTCAGGTTGCAAGCGATAGAAACTTCTCTGCACGGCTCATACAACCATTGTTCTAGTATCAACTCGTTAAATAAGTCACGAGTTTCAATTACTTGGTTTGATAGGCTGTCAACGAAAGCATATATCGAAGTACTATGTCTTCAGTTTGCAGTTCAAACCCATGCAGAGTTGGTGGCACAAACTTTCCATGAAAGGCGAAGAGAGTTCAACGTTTGCAGCCGCGCTTCTCACATGGACCCCGCATGGATATGCGGTATAATCAATTCTAAGCACGTCAATGAAATTTTATGGCGTATTTAATTAGCATTTTTGCAGGCAACATAGTAGGGACGAACAGATTCAGAAAATTCGTCCCTAATAGCTAAAAATTTCTAATATTCATCTTCCAGAGCTGCAAATAACGAGCGATTAAAGCCTGTCAAATATCGTGATTTGAATCCTCAGTTTCGTGTTTTCAACTATATAACGCAGATGGCGTACTTATGAAAACTTAAGAATATATATAATCTGATTCTTTTATGGCATCAGATTCTCGATGGGCATTTGGACGTTGAAAATGTGTAATTAAATTAGAGAAGGAATCATAGGTAAAGAGAACAATACACGACATCCGCAAGGCTTTGATGTTTATGGGTAAGTAAGACTAGTACTATTTCAACCATGAGTAGCATGTACCCACTCAACCTCCACAGTTGGGCACACTTCTTCACACTAGGTGAAGGCCTAGCACCGTACTGAACCTGGTGCAAGTCCAGTAGCTATTTAAAAATTCGTCAGTTTGGAAAAGATTCCGGTCGGAGGACCTGTTTTCAGCTCTTCTGTGAACAAATCAGAAAAGTACAAAAATCTGCGACAGGCCACATCAGGCCTACTCTTCAGCGCCGACATCACTATGTTATGTTATGATAAAACCAAAATTTATTCCCATCAAGTTTTTCACCATAAAACTAGTGTATGTTGAATAGAATACTGCGTAACACTATTGAAATCGAGCATTGAGGACAGCTGCCTTTGAGAGCTGCATTGGCCCAATTACTCGGTGACATCCACCAACTGCTCTAGGAGAAACGCTACAGAATTCCCTACCAATTATTATTGGCTGGTCAGCAACGCGTTTCTCTTGTGACGTGTGCGCTGTCGTGCTGGATGTGCCACGACCTCACACCACATCATGACCACGGCCAACATCATTCTCTTCATACATTTGTTGCATGCATGTACATGATTGACAATGATACACGGCACAATTGATGTTTTGTCTTCAGAATGTCCGCAAGAAACATGAACATAAAGAAGAATGCTTCAGTGAATGATGGACACAAAACGGATTTCTGTCGGACCTTTGGTGTCACTTCCCTTGTACACGCATTGTACCCTCGTTATTTGATATCAGCGGGCCGGAAGCTGCTGCTGGCATAGTTATGATGCAGTACGCAGTCCCGTACACGTATCGGAGGGTCAGGTTTCAACATGAACATGATTTTCTTAATGACAGTAAAATTTGCAGGGAAAAGAAAATGATTTATAAGGCTTTTTTTATTACAGCAACTATAACACTATATTATGCAAAGCTTCGTGGGCTACGAAAAATATATGATAGTTCCCTTCGAGAACGGACATTCGTGTCGTAAAATATAACGAGTAACGTTTCTTGCAGATAAAATCAAATTGAACACAAATAAAGTGATATATTCGTAAAATCTAGCATAAATTATATCATTAAATCAACAGACTTTATCAAATTAAATAACTCACTAATATATTTAATATCACAGAATAAGATCATTACCTTCTGCTCTGACTACTCATCATATCCGCGACAACAACAATAGTTCCTTCTTTTAAATGTAATACCGCGCTAAATCAGAAATGCGTTCCCCGGTGCCATGAGAGTAAACTTCGTACTCTTAATTTAATATATTATGCTCTCCAAAAAATATTATCATTAGCAGCGTATACAAAATGCGTGCTCTGACAATACTGTTAACATGAAAATAAGTCTATTACAGAAAAGAAAACGAACAATAAAACGGCAAATAATGACTTAGTCCACACAGAACTTGGAAAAATCAAGCTTACAGAAATTTCCCTCTTCAACCATGTGTTGAGGCAGGGCACATTTTCACGATTGCCTCTTACATTGATAATAGCGATCTTAGTAGCTATACAATACTGCGACACTGAGACTGTCATTTGAAGATCATACACACGATATAATATTTTCCTTTCACATACAACTCCGCTCAGGGCATTTTCTTTCCTGTAAATGTCGCTTGAATGGGCATTATTAATAAGGTATAAGGCTAGCAACAGTATCGTTCGAAAGCTACATGGAGAAAACTAAGTTACTTAGTGATGCTGTCTCAACGAAATTAACTTTTTATGCATCGTAAAAAAGGACGAGAATCCACATGTAGCGGATTTCGATTACTCGGAATCCGCAGCAACTTTCCAAGCGTGAGGATTCATGCAACGCATTTCTACGAAATCCCGCGGCTGTTCTAAGTAACCGCCAGCTTCTGAACTTACCGACGGCACATAAGTCGACTGTGGCGGCATGGGAGACTCGTAGAGGGAATCCACAAGACTGTCTTCGTTCTGTTGCAGCGGCGGCTGGTCGATACTGTTATACGTGTAACTTGGTCCATAGCACGAGTAGCCTTCCGTCTCGTAGAATCTTTCTAAGTCGATCAGACTTTTAGCAAGCGATCTGCCACAAGCTGTGTGCATGGGCCGCAATTCATCGTCATCCCAATTATCGTTTCGATTCATCTCCGGAACATCGATGGGATGGATTGACGAGGCCACATTCAAGTCTGATCGAACGCCGATCGTTCCCTTCGTATGCTTGAAGCCTGATTTTGAAGGTCGTTTCACTTGTTTTGGTTTCTTTTTATAAATCTCTTCGGCTTTCTCTTCTGCTTTTCCGGCTTCACATGTTTTTTTCTTCTTGTTTTTTGACCCTTTTGGGCGTCCTCGAGGCCGTTTAAAAGCCACTGGTGTTTCCCAATTTGCTTCTACCTTTATTGGGGTATTGATATTCACGGAACTTTCTCCAGTCGAGAGAAACTGCGGGTTGCTGACTTGTTTGATCTTAGCCGTTTTGTGTTTCTTGGTTTCTCGCTTATTTTGTTTACCATCGAAATAAGTAGGTTTTTGCCCATGCTTGCGTTGCGGTTTGGCTTCTACTTTGAGACGTCTATTCCGATTTCCGATGCGTTGAGGTAAATCAGATTCGAAAGCGCGACCTCTTGACTGCATTTTCCTGATCATGACTTCTTGTCTGATTATTTCGTTGAATTGTTCTTGCGAAATGATCTGTGCGGCATTTGGTCCTTTTCTGCCTCGCTGCCACTTCTTAGAGTACATTCTTGGTCTGTGAGGTAGACTGGCAATAGGAACATCAGGGCTTGTGTTTGATGAATCATAATTTTGAATTTCTTCGTTACGTTCCGGCTCAGTTACACAAAAAAGCTTCTGCAATTGGATAATTTCTGCTTGTGCGCTCGATTCATAGAACTCCTGCCCGTTGGTCAGTCCGGAATTTGCATTTGACAAGCACGACTCCCCAGGCTCAGTGTCGTAAAGTCGGGAGAGAGATTGCGCCACAAGGGCACTGAGATTCATCGAGTCATCTGCAGGAGGACTCTCGTCCAAGTTAGCTTCCCGTGAATAGTTACTTGGTGACCAATCGTGACCCTTGTGGTAGCTGTTGTTCCTTTGCTGGCGTAGGTCATTCTCATCAGCTGAATAGTGATGCGTGAAAGTCTCCACTTTGTTAATAACCCGACGGCTGTAATTTTGGCTCGTAGATGCCTGGTTACAATAATCGTCAACTTGTTTTCCTTCCTTATCTTTAACGGACAATGCTGCTTTACGAAGAAGGCTTCTTCTTAATACCTTAGTTTCATACTTTTCAGGGCTTATAGCACGGTCGTGAAGCACTCCAACGGACACATGGCCGAGACTCCCCGAGCGGATAGTGAAATACTCAGGCATGACTTTCTTGCGACGTCGCAACGAAACAGAGGCATCATGTCTCGCCTCCACGCTATTAGCCACTATCTCGTATGCCTTGGATCCAGCAGCCGGTCTCAGAGGATAGTAGTAGAATTTTTGTTGTTTTCTCGGGCCTCGCTTAACCTTCTCGACTCCAGCCTCGCGAAGGAGCTTGCCCAGCAGTATTTTGCTGCAAAAATCAGGAGAATAGCCATTTACTTCGAGAAAATGCTGGAACGAATCCCAGACTGCGTCGATGGAAGCGTTGTCTCTTGTGTCGACGTTATTGCGTTCAGAGTCTGTGACCAGCCACTCCCTGGTGAGGAACTCCTTCATGAACACATACTTGTCGAGTCTCAGCTTGTGCACCTGCCGACTGGCCATTTATCTCCTGCTTCTTTTCGACTTATCTCAGAAAATCTGCGTGAAGTAAAAATTTAATTTAGAATTTTTTATAAAGGTGTTTTATGCATGCTATAGCGCCAATGATTCTTGAATCCCCCGCAGTACTTATGTCGTCGGCAGACACGATCTATTTACTATATTGACAGAATTACATTAGAATTTCTACTCAGACTTAAACAACTTTGTAATATCTCAACAGTAATAGAATACTGAATCGTATATCCACCAGCCTGTAATGCAGTATTTTCATCGACAAAAACTAATTTACGCAACATATGCCGAGTTGCGAAGATTATCATTTGATCCTTTGTTTAAATGGTGTTCATCTGATTATATACGTAAGAAATTGATTAACATTTTAACATCCTTATCTTATAAAGCAAGAAATATCTATTTCAATGCACTTAAAATCTTCAATCAGCAAAGTCATAGCACTTAGTAGCAATCGAAATTTTTGTTAACATTTCTTATAGTTCAAGGTTGACGGCTTAACTTAGCCTTTAGTTTGTTCTAATTTGTACTATCATCGGAGCAAACTTTGAACCCGATTATAAACGATGTTGCTGAAATAATCAAATTATCACTGCTTCTAACGGTATTTTAGAGACTATTTTAATTCTATCTATAAGTTAATTGGCTACATGAAATGTGGTGAACACTAAAATTCAAATAAGTTTTTAACAATAATTTTTGGCTAACCATTCGTATGTTCGTATTCGTATGTTCATTCGAACGTTCGTATGATATTTTTATATGCCAATGAAATCTAATGAATGAAGTTATTTTATTGACTACGTATCATTGACAACATAATTTTTATTTAAATTTTTTTTTACGTTCAAAGTTGGTTGAACAAATTTCAAACTTGTTCCAGGTTTATTTATGGCACCAACTACGTAATAACTTGCTGGTTTTACAATCCAAATGGCATGATGATGGCACGTTATGTTTTCATGGTCTTAAAAAAATATGATCTTAGGAAACAATGCAATATAAAATAAATATTCTCAACTGTATTAAACTCTCAAATTTAAGTAGAACTAACCTTATTTTTTACTTTAGTTGAAAATTTAGAAGTTCCAGAGGGAGAGTAGTACTTACAGCGACTCGTCAATTGCGCGACGTGGCAAAGAGTTACCGGTAGAAGACAACGGCAAACACTTTCTCGTGAATAATCGTCAAATTGTTGTGACCATACAAAATACGTTTCTCGCGTTTTTCTGCGTACCTTCTTTAATCTACCATTAGTAACTTTATAACGAGCAAGTCGTTTCAAATTTTTTTAGATTCTTCCAATTAAAATTTAACAAACTTGTTGAATGACAACGTTTTTGCATACACTTAGAAACTGACTTCAAATGCTGACATTATTATTCTTGGCTACGAGAATTTTGCCCTACTTTATCAGATGATTATCTGCTTAGACAGAAAAAATGTAAGTTTTATATTGTTTATTATTAATTATAATATAATAATTTTATATTGCTAATGAATATTATAATATTCATTGTATTGTTTTTAAGTAAGTGTAAGTCCTAGTAAATCTTTTCATGAAGAGAAATTGAACAGAAGCCTGTAACTAAGATTCGCTATCATGAAGTTCCTTACTAATAGTTAGTTGAAATTCTGGTTTATTGCTAGAAAATTCAGTTCATTTAAGAACTTTAAACGGAAGTCACTTGCCTGAAAATTCTTTATAGTTGCTCCTTCATCAATCTTAGAACAATGAAGACTAGAAAAATTACCCTACTCACTGTTACTGAACTACTTTTCCTTGTCTGAATATGCACTTATCCACAACTATTTGTACGTGTTCTTTAACTACGAAGTTGACATCAGGAAAAAACATACAAAATTGAAAAATAATTATATTTACATGTTCTCTAGTACGACATGGCATTTACTTTCTAATGAATTCGCTTCAATTCTATTGAACTCAATTCGCATAGTAGAACTAATTCGTTCTAAGATCAAATCAACATCGTCCAAAATAGAAATAAAATTTCATCTATGAAACGAACATGTATAGAGGATTGGGTCGCACGGACAAAAAATATATTAAAGCATAAAAACCAACAATTTTCTTTTGCTATCCAAAATTTTACCCACCGAGATGATCCAGGAAATGATTTACTACTGAAGCCAGTGAAGACCTCCGAGTGCTCACAATGAAAATTGGACAACCGTCACAGATATTAAAAAAATTGTTAAAATTTCAATTTCGTCATAAGCAATTTCACGCATTATTCTCGTTTTCTGTTTGAATGGTCAGCCAGCGTGAGCAAAATTACTGTTAAATTAATCATTTGCCATAATTTTTAAAGATGAATGAGGACAATACTAATAAAGATTTTTAATGCGAGCTGAATATACGAAGATCTAACAAATCTTAGATAAGGCATAAAATATGTACATTATGACTCCACGCAAAACGCTAATTACGTGTTATTTTAGGAGATTTTTTTCGGGTAGGAATATACAAACAATAAATGCATCAACAATTGGGAGTAACTCATTCTAATGGAAAGGTACAAGACATGCACTAAACAAGTGGGGGATTGCAACTCTCAAATGTAGCGAGTCAACAGGCAAAGAGGGAAGAAAATATAAATCGGGCGACAGCCAATGAAATTAAGAATGTTCACAAATATTCTTAGACAACAATCCTACAAGATCAAAAGTCTTGGGACGTCAAACATGTTGCATAAGCGTGAGACAATCCATGTTAAGATCAGCAGCCATCGGAAGGAACTGGAGGTTGAGGAGGCATGGAAGATTCGTCCAGCCTCTTCAAGAGATTGCTGGTAATCGTCCTGTAGCATTCAGCCTGTGAAAAAGTAACGAAATGCTGTAGGTTTGATACTTAAAACTTATTCTTGGACTGAGACTACTTAAACTCTCTATTCAACTATGACAACACCTTAGTTCTGTTCTCAAGCTTCACGACATCAACTAAAAAATTCGACAACGTCAATAAATGATAATTAAGACTTTTCCACCAGGAGCCGTCACTCACCTCAGGGCGCTACAGGCTGCCATCAGGAGCCATCGCTCACCTCAAGGCGCTACAGGCTGCCACCAGTAGTCGCCACTCACCTCAGGGCGCTACGGGCTGCCACCAGGAGCCGTCACTCACCTCAGGGCCTCGAGGGCGGGCCACCGCCACGGGCAAGCCAGTGTCGCCTGCCTCCCTGATGCTGAGGGCAATGGGCACGTCGCCCAAAACTGGCACGCCTGCAACACAGTTGGATTGTAAGTTCAACGTCATCAACATCGCCAAAGAGGTTGAAGACCTAATCACTGCAAAATCTTTCGTCAGCCACATGGGACGAAAGGTCTCACATGGCCTGCCCATAGGTACATATAACTCAGTACTCACATAAATATAACTCAGTACTCACTGCAGTGAGTGACAGAGAGCGCATTTTCTCGTCGACGAAATCTTGAGGTCACGGACAGACGGACAGACAGACAGACGGACAGACGGACATGGCGAGCACAATGGTGCATTTTTTCCATAAATGAGAAAATGCGCTAAAAAGAATGGCGCAAGTGTCTCCAAGAGCCGAGGGGATAAGCAAGGACAAACGAAGTGCAACAAACACGTAGTCAGGTACCGCGTGCTCGGCAGTGCGTGGTTCAGAACAAAGCTCCTTGGTAACGCAGAATTCCACAAAATTTTTAAAGAGCATGCATCACAAACTCTGCGATTAAGCCCTTTAGACATGAGTCAGAGTGTTACTTAGCACTGAGTGTTGACACTGAGTGGTAAATCAATGCTATGTACACAAACCATGTATTAAAGAATTATCAAGTCCAGAAAAAAATGTACGTACACTTCATATATGTAATGATATTGAAACCTCAATCACCACTCATTCATAGTACTTCATTTCATTTTGAGTTACCATTGCATAGGATTTGTAATGAGAAAGATCAAGAAGAAAGCCCTCCACAAAATTCAAAATCAGGTCCGGAGATAAATTGCAAATACCGAAACAATAACAATGAAACATAACGACACCAAGAATCAAACCAGGTCACTTTCTCAAGACGATTGGAAGAAAAAATATAACTCAGTACTCACTGCAGTGAGTGACAGAGAGCGCATTTTCTCGTCGACGAAAACTTGAGGTCCCTTACGGACAGACGGACAGACAGACAGACGGACATGGCGAGCACAATAGTGCATTTTTTTCCATAAATGAGAAAATGCGCTAAAAAGTAACCTAGCTCAGCGACCTGCCAAGAGAATTTTACAGCACATCCTCACCCAACCTGAGTGAGCTCACAACCAACGCATAAACCAGAACGAGAACACAACGAACTAATAACCCATGGGCCCACCAAGCTCTTGCGCAACGCGGGCTGCGCCGCCGCTACCGAAGATGTGCTCGGTGTGGCCGCAGGCAGAGCAGCGGTGGAGGCTCATGTTTTGCACCACTCCCAGCACCTTCACTCCCACCTACAATGAGGGCAACATCATTACGCTGGCATCAATTTATTTGTAATCGATTTACAATCTAGCTAAAGTCCACTATCATGTTCCTATGATTTATTATGATAAGCTGCTTGGTACAACAGGAGCAATTATAGAAGATGCGTGGACGCTGCGACTCACCTTGTGCATCATTTGAGCTCCTCGCCTGACGTCAGCGAGAGCGACGTCCTGCGGGGTGCTCACCAGCACCGCACCTGGAGGATAAACACATTTGTGATAACTCCCCAAATATTTTCACATATATATAAGTGAACCAAAGAAAGTTTAGATATATTGAATCTTGAGAATAAAATTGAACCTATGTAAACAACACGAATACCCATTAATTACACTTGCATGACGACCTCGAGCCACATTTTAGGAGAGCCACGATATAATATGATCGATGATTCATTATTTAACAAATTACAACCTCGTCATCAGCACACCTGCTCCACAAACAAAACCCCCGCCATCAGCACACCTGCTCCACAAATAAAACCCCCGCCATCAGCACACCTGCTCCAAGAGATCAAACCCCCGCCATCAGCACACCTGCTTCACAGGATCAAACCCCGCCCTCAGCACACCTGCTCCACAAATTCAAACCCCGCCCTCAGCCCAGCTGCTGCAAGAGATCAAACCCCCGCCATCAGCACACCTGCTTCACAGGATCAAACCCCCGCCATCAGCACACCTGCTCCGCAGATCAAACCCCCGCCATCAGCACACCTGCTCCACAGGATCAAACCCTGCCCTGAGCACTGCAGTAGAGAGCCCACCAGCGACGTGCACGAGCTGGGCGACGGAGAGCGCCACGTCGCCGGTGCCGGGCGGCAGGTCGAGCAGCAGGGTGTGCAGGGGCGGCCAGGCCGTCCTCAGTAGTAACTGCTGCACTGCAGACATCACCATGGGGCCTCGCCACACCACCGCCGCGTCTGCCGGCACCATCAGGCCCACGGACATGCTGCACATCAACCATGCTTTGTCATTGTAATGCTAGTTACACATTAACATGGAATGTATGCAGAGAGTTGAGACATCTGAACCATGCAAGGACTTCAATACATCAACAAGAGACTGGAAAATTGCTCAGTATGGATGGCGCAAATTATGACATGAAGTGAGTATTGGCAGTTTTGATAACAACTGACAAGTAAGCATAATAAGAAAATAGATTTAGGGTTTTTCAATGATGGCTTTTTGGATGTGGTCCATCTCATCTAACTGACCAGTACATATACCGAAGAAAGGCTATGAAATTTATGGTCTCCTATTAGCCTCCAAGCAAATAATTACTTAAAAATATTGCAATAAAATAGAAGACTGAAGTTATTTTGAATATTACGCTGGGTGCCACAATCTCCTCGTTAGGAAATATTGATGCTGATAGGTGGTCGTGCTAGCAAGGCAGCCAAGCAAGAGTGCTGCACTGGCCTCATGGAGACACCAGTCCAGTCCTAACTGGCATATTTACACAACTTTTTACAACTAAGGTAGGTACCTATTTAAGAGAAATCATCCCAGTCAAATTATTATTGGAACAGAAGTCTGTTTCCTGCAAACCACAATCATTCTAGGTGGGAAAAAGTTATAGCTAAGATAAATTGGCAGTTATTGAAAACTTTTTAAACTATACCATTTCAAAATGCTATTTGCTTACATTAATATATATTTCATTGATGGAAATGAAGTTTTAAGGAAAAGAAAAAAAAATGAACAATAATTAAACTGATGTAGATAAACAAAATTAGTTGCAACATCTGCAACATTACTCCTCCCACAGTAGTTATGGATCACTAACTTCCAAAGACCTTGGCAACTAAACAAAAATAAAATGTGAATCAAGTGGTAGGTATATACTTTGATCACTAACTTGATACTCACAGACTCACCAGTGAACTCCGTAGTTCACAAGGGGCAACATATGGTTATCTGCAATGAGAAATAATTTTTTAAATAAAACAAGATCCACAAGCTCACAAGAATGTCAAGTATACCTTTTGTTGTATCAGTAAAGCTAGGAAAGATATGTCAATTAATATCCAAGTAAAAGAAATCTACAATCTAGAGGAACAATTTTAATGTCTTAGAAGCTAAGGAAACACTTTAAACCTGTTCAAGTAGCAAATAATGTTCATGGGATGAAGATGACAATTTAAACCCTTGTTATTCTTTTGTAATTAATTGGCTTTAGTAAAATGATTTGAGAGCAAAGCTTTGTATAGGTATACTATAACAAAATATATTATAATAAAAATTTTATTAGAAAGTCAATAAGCAGCACACAAACAACAATGAAACTTGATATTTGAGGGAATTTCAATGAAAATAGGGTTTTTTAACATGCCCAAATATCACAAAACATTCAGGATGTAATACATGAAAGGAAATGTAACATAAGCACATCAATTGGGCACCTTTGTTCAGAGCAGGTTTTATGTTGTGAAGGTTCATCATGATAGGCAGCGATGGCCCAAATATGTCCATGTCCAGCAGACCAATGCCTTCATGGCCAAGTTGTTGCTTCAGAGATATTGCCAAATTAACTGCAAGATGGGACAATGTTAAGTCCTGAAATAAAATATTATATAACTGTTATTACAAGAAACTATGTTTTTTTATCTCTTAACTAAGAATATACCTACCCTTAAATTAGTTGAGTGTGAGTAATAAGATTTCAACCTGCCATCAAACTTGATGCAACACACAACCAATTTCAATTAAGTGATACCTAATAAATTACAGAATACTAGCAGCAGCCATAAATATTACAAAGACCTTAACATTGCATTGGATTTTAATGATCAACATTGATTACCTATCAAGGGAAAAACTGCTGATTTTTTTTTCACTAAATAACAGTACCAAAGCCAAAATGCTTGAGGCACATAGGTACATAACTTACTTTAATAATACATTAAGAGTTCAAGGAAATTTCACACCTCAATAGTTTGGAACTGAAAGCAATATTGTCATAATGTGATGGAAGAAATTAGAATAACAATGACTGGAAATTATTCAGATGCATTTATACTGAGAAAATTATCAGTCATTTATACATATACGTACCTGCTGTGGTAGATTTACCAACGCCTCCCTTGCCTGACGCCACTAGCACAACATTTTGCACTCCTCTGAGCTTCTGCTTCTTTGGCAAGCCCCGACTCATCACTTTCTTCTGATGCTCAGTAAGATCCGTTCCCAAGCCCTGCCAACAAATTAAATCATTTTACCTTAAGGGGAGCATTGCTCCTAAAAATCAAAGAAATTACATGTTTTAAGTTTTTCTTTTCATTTTGTAGAGATACCTTGTTGGCTTGTTTTTTTTCCACATTAAACTGAACAATAATAAGTCTTAAGACAAGTGATTGTACCCTCAATACAAGTAATTGGCAATAGGAAAACAGGGGCTCAAGTATCAAGCAATTTTATTAGTATTTTTTTCAATAAATTCAATTTATTTGGCTGCCCAGAAAAAATTCAAATTTCCAAAATATGCCATCCTCAAAATTACAAAACCAGCACACTCAATTTAACTCACCAAATTATTTTCATGGCTGAACCTTCTGGGAATAAAAATACCAACATGAGAAAACTCCGCCTGCATGATTTTTCTAGTTAAATTCCTCATGGTTTAATTTACATAGGAGTTGTTCAATGTGAACTGGTTCTAATGTAGCAACTCTTCTTCCAACATACAATTGAATAGTTCATTACTTTTCTAATTATTTTATCTAATTTCTCTCTATGCTTCAGATGGCTGGAAAGAAGAGACCAAAAAGCAAGTTAATCAGTACCTATACCGGTATTAACAAGCCACATGACTGCTCAGTCCTGATAGATTTCATCTGATAACTACCAGGAATACAATACTAAGCACACCAGTTAAGCACTGTCCAAAGCATCCACACATGTCCACAGTTTACTGAGTTAGCACAAAGCTACAGGCAGCAGGAGCTGTATGGATATATACTTTCAATTTTTCTCCACATTTCAGCCATGGTACCATCATGCATAGTGAAATATATATTGAATTGTACTCATGATCATGGTCACTGGTCAGTGGAATGATGGAAGGTGAAATGAAAAGAGGGAAGGCAAATGCCTTATGTGTGATTGGGACAAGAAAAAACTGTGGAGCACTTGTTGATGGAATCATGGAATGTGAGGCAACTGAGGCCTATGAGAGTGAGGGTCAGTCTATGATGGAGGTGATTCTGGATGAGGGAGGTGAGATTAAGGTGAGGGAGGTGAGATTAAGGTGAGGGAGGTGAGAACAAGTGAAGAGTGGATGAAAATGATTTGTTGCATGGGTCTGTCAGAGAGAACAATGGGTCTGTCAGAGAGAACAACTGTGGCAATGTTAAAGAGTGTGAAGAGATATTTTGAAAATCTGTGGAGATTGAGGGACAGGATGGGGATCATGGGATGATGTGATCATGTAAGTGGGGTCTTTAGGAATGGAAGTTGAGAGAGGTGAGGGTGGGAGGCAAAGGTGACCATGCCCAATGTTTTAGTACATTGCTAAGCCTAATGCTTTTTAAGATGACATGTAATCATGTATAACCTAATGTTTTAGCCTTGAAGGATTATAGTGAAACTAAGTGCATACGTATCAATTGAACTTTTTGTTAACTGCTGAGTGCAACATGAAGTCAAGAACTTTTTAATTTTTTTCAGCTAATAAAAATTTTTTCATGATACAGCATGAAATTTGAAGGTCTGCGTCTTTTTTAAAGTATAAGGTCAAATCTAAAAGGTCTCGGACAAAGTTACATCAGGACTCTCCCAGCCAGTCTCCAAATTCAGCGACCAAGGAATATCTCCCAATCCCAAACTAACAAATGCAGCTTGATGAAATTTGGTACATGTATTCATCAGGTTCTGACCGTTCTGTTCTAGTAGGTAATGGTGATATTTATCTTAAGGAAAATTTGTTTCATTTCACCTTCTCTTGATTTCTATGGCAATTTGGGGCAACATTTGCACTGACCAAGAAATTTCTTCTAGCTACTGAACAAATTTGAACAAAACTCTGATGTCTCTGAATATACATTCCTAACCTCCCAACAGAAACAGTGATGTTTAGCTCATGGCACTTTTTTTAACTTTCGTTTGCAAATTTTTCCTATTTCACTTCCATTCATGAGTTTTGGGCCAAAATTGACAGTGATCAAGAAATTTCTCACAAACTACTGGACTGAAGTGAACTGATTTGAATGAAACTTTGAATGTACAAACCTAAGTTCTAACCTCGAACCTTCCAACATGACGACGACCCCAATAAGGCAATGGTACCTAAGCTAATGAGTAATGTTTACTTAGACCCTACGTCCTACGGTCGGACGGTCCTACCTAGGTTAGGCTAGGTATCTTCACTATCTTGCAACAATTTTTTTAATTGTGCCTTCGTTTGCGAGTTATACGGCTATATGAATACAGTTCTTTGTCAAGGCGAATTTAAAAATTGGCCTCAAAAATGTCAGTCGTTTCTCACTTTCTCTGTTTATCCGTATAACTCGCAAACGAAGGCGAAATCGAAAAAATTGCCACCAGGGAGGCAGGGACCAGGCTACCTAATTAGTGCCTAGCACTAGCAGTCATTTAAAAGTCTGAAAATCTGCAACACACAAAAAAACACATTTGGCATAGCAAAGCAATAGAAAAAAGGAAAAGATTCTCAGCCCAGTTGGTTACAGTATCCGTGCCAAAATTGAGCCTCACAGGTGTCTGTATACATAGATTACTGAAGGTCCAGCCGGGAGCAAGGGGCCCTGGGGGGGGGGGGGAAGGCGGTAAACTTGTCGGACACCTCTGATCTTGGCGATCTAAATGTTTTGGCCCGTTGACACTTGACGAGGTCAGCACGCACAGACTGACAGAGGTCATTGAATTTGAACAGAATTTTTGCAATTTTGAAGTGAATAAATTTCTAGGTTTTGGGGAAATTGTCGAGTCAAATTTCGAAAGTTTATAATAATAATTGTCCCAGTGATCAGGGTGGCCAAGTGGTTACAGAGAACTTCAGAGTACCGAGATTGGAGCAGAGAGGCGCGGCCGCGCGGGTTCACTGAGCTTCATTCCCAGCAGCTCTGTGCGAGTAAAGTACCGTATGCGCCAGTTTCTGGTCAGAATCGGCGAGGAAGCTGGGTGGTTCGCGGTTAAGCAAAGGAAACCACAAAATGCTCTGAATGTTCTGCGATGTATCGGTTGCGATGTAAAGAATCGGGGAGCGCTGCCGTAGCCCAAAAATTTGACTCTTAAATCTGCCCAAAAGCCAATGCCAACCCTCTACATGCAATAGAAATAGTCAGTCTAATACCTATGCAGCTGTTCTTACTTGCCTCATCTCGCCACTGTCGTCCCAAGAATCGGCGACAGGCCTACGGCCTAAAAACGCTGAAACCGCTATTATTTATTTATTTATTATAAATCTTTTTCAGAGACGGAATAACTGACACTTGTAAAATTTTGACAGCATTTTTGACGTTTGAAGTGAATAAATTTGTATGTCGGGAAAATTTTCAGCATTCATGCCTTTTTAAAATGGATTTCTATCTGGGGCAATTTTGAAATTGAATTAAAAATTGTTTGAATACTAAACCTATTTTAGAAGGGAGCGCAGCCGTGGGTAACAAAATTGACTCGTAAACAGGCCCAGGGCCCAACGCCAACCATCAGCATGCAATATTTACCTACACATAGCTTCAGATCAATGAGCTATGTGTAAGTGACTCATATGATTCATATCACCACACCAACTTTAAAAAACACAGCCACTGTTTCACAGCGCAGGAGCATAATTGGCCGGAGCGCAACAGGCCCTACCTACAACGCCTTGCGTTAGGTTAGGTTAGGTTAGGAGTAGGGCCGGAGTAAGGCGTTGTAGGTAGGGCCTGCTGCCCTACCTACTGAACGGCGCTGTTGTGGTGGGCGCTCTGTGTCGAAAGCCGTGAAGATGCCCGGCTGCGTTACGCTCGGGAAGGTATATGAATCGCACTGTGGACTTGGGCTATGGTGACCTCTAGCTATCCACCCTTTTAGAAAGTGGTCAACACGTTTGAACAGCATTTTTGCCATTTTAAACTGAATAAGTTTCTGGGTTTGAAGAAATTCTTAAGTTAAATTTTAAAATTTCATAATACTAATTCTATTTCAGAAACGACTGAACTGACACTCGCGAAATTTGAATAGCATATTTGATCTTTTTCAAGTGTAAATTTGTGGGTGCCGAAAAAGGCACCCTATGTCTATAAAAAGCCACACGTTGTCTCGTTAAAATCACACTCTGTCTTGAAATATCCACACTTTATCTCGAAAAAGGACTACTTTGTCTCGAAAACGCCACACTTCGTCCTGAAATAGCCACACTGTGTCTCGAAAACGACACACTTCGTCTTGAAATAGCCACACGGTTTCGAAAACCACACACTTAGTCCTGAAATAGCCACACTTTGTCTCGAAAAAGCCACGCGTTGTCTCGTAAAAGCCATATTTTGTCCCTTGGCAAAAGATACGTATTAAAAAGTTAAATAAATAATAATACATAGTCAATTTATTCGGTTAGAGCATTCTTTTGCATGAATTTTCAGCTACAATAATGTGTGTTTTGGCTAAATTTATGTGTTACAATTTTTTAAATCAAAGTTAAACATACGAGTACATCGTTAATTTACTCAAAAAGACGGCTGAACTGACACTTGTAACTTGGGTAGCATATTTGTCGTTTTAAGAGGAATTAATTTGTAGGCTCAAATTTACCGAGTGGCAGTTCAGCCGTTTCTGAAATTGAATCTAAATTCTACTTGAAAACTTCCCCTGTGACGTCGCTCGTCACTCGTCAGATTCAACGCACCAAGTTTTCCTATCCTCATCTATTCTTTCTTAAAATCTTCACTCATCCCGGCGTTCACTCCACAAGTGCGTGGAAAATATCGCAAAGATCAACGAAATTATAACCATGTGAACGCAGCGAGCCCTCAAGAGGTTCCCGCGTTCCTAACAGCGATCATTGTGTGTCCACAGCTCGTGCGAGTAATGTGTTGCTCCACGGGTCCTCCCGCTGTTACCTTATATTATGTTTTTATAGCTTTTTAAGCCTATTGTATCCATGTATTCCTCTATTGCCTTCACTTTCTATGATTCCAGAATTGTGATTCTAAATTCATGTTATTGAGTGCATATTAGACTCATGTCTAAAGGGCTTAATCGCAGAGTTTGTGATGCATGCTCTTTAAAAATTTTGTGGAATTCTGCGTTACCAAGGAGCTTTGTTCTGAACTGAATCGGCAAGGAGGCCGGGCGGTTAAGCACAGCAGAATTGTAGCAGTGAGTTGCGAGTTCGAGACCTCAAAATGCTGTGAATGTTCTGCGATGTAAAGAATCGGCGACAGGCCTACGGCCTAATAAACGCTGAAACTGCTATTATTATATTATATTATTATATTATTATATCATTTATTGACGTTGTTGAATTTTTTAGTTAATGTCGTGAAGCTAGAGAACAGAATTAGGGTGTTGTCATAGTTGAATAGAGAGTTTAAGTAGTCTCAGTCCAAGAATAAGTTTTAAGTATCAAACCTATAGCATTTCGTTACTTTTTCACAGGCTGAATGCTACAGGACGATTACCAGCAATCTCTTGAAGAGGCTAGACGAATCTTCCACGCCTCCTCAACCTCCAGTTCCTTCCGATGGCTGCTGATCTTAACATGGATTATCTCACGCTTATGCAACATGTTTGACGTCCCAAGACTTTTGAT